AAACGATCAGAGTAGAGAATAGTACATCAACTACATAATGAAATTAGATTTTCAATTTACAGTTTTGTTATACTGTACTCAACTAAATCAATAATTGGTATTTCAGCTTATTACGCACAGAACGAGTACCGGTAATTAATAATATAGCTTTTTCGTAATTTAGAAAGTACAGCTTTTTCCGAAACTTTAGCTGTAAAGGGCCTATGATAGCTAAAATTGCTCTATCGCAAGTCAATTGATAGAATCTGTTGCATCGATCAAAGTAATCCCTACTTTACAGCTCCTGTATTTGCATGCACTTAAAATAGAGCTCATTTAAAGATCGAATAGTGTTAAAATACCTACAAGGGTATTACATTGAGCCTATTAAACAAACTTATGTGTTTAATATGTATGAGTAGAAAGCGAATATTTTGGTATTAATGCATGTTTTACTCATTTCTGTTAACGCAAATTGATACGTCTTGGGTCTATTTTGCAAGAATCTGAGATTAGTCGAAAGGAAGGAACAGCAATGCAAAACGCTGAGAATTCAAATCAAGATGGTAAGTTAGTAATGGTCATCTATTCATCGTAATTAGTTTCCTTGCATACATATAAGATTAGGTTATGCCACTTACTAACATAAGACTAAAATATGTGTGTTAGTCTAATATTAGCTTAGACGACATGAAAATAAATAAATCAATTAAGATTATAGATTGTATTGTTTGATCGAAGTAACTAATGAATTAACTATTTGATAGAGTAAATTTAGAAAATAGACCGGTAACTAATTTTATAGAGGAAGTATTTAGCATTACAGCTTTTACCAAACTAATCTGCTAATAATTCTACCTTTAGTGTAATTAAACATTAAGTTGCTTTTCTGGAAGTTAAACACTTACGAGTATAGCGCCAAGTATTATGAGTTATCGATACAATTAGTTAGGCGATAAAAGCAATAAATATTATCATCAGTATCAGGCAAGAGATTTCTTGGCTAGTACCGATTCTGAATTCAAGGTACTATCTGATCTAGGAATTTTCCTTTTTTCATGGTGCATATAATAAATTTTCCAGTTAATAATTCGCTATACTGTAGTCTGTACAATATCATGTACAATCTTCGTAATACATAATTTGGTATTGCTCATATTAAACATGTTTCCTGTTAACAGGAACGGATATCACTAATCAGCCACATGCAATCATCGATCAACCAAAGAAAAAACGCCGTAAGTTATTTATCACCGTAAATAAAGGCCTAATCAACAAATCATCACGAAAACACGTTTTAGGGCAATTCCATACATGCAAACTGTAACAAATCTGTCGTACTGACTCTACTTACCATATAATCACGCAAAGAATTTTATAATAACAGATTACATTGCTGATTTTCTAGCAATTGTGATACTATGTAATAGTAAAATCAGCTGACGGATGAAGAAAAAATTTTCGATAACATTAAGAAAGGAGAACTAAGAACGATAATAACAGTGAATATAGCTGCTTAAATACGTTACCTAACTTGTTTATAACTTGAAAATTGCAAAGAACATCACTTAACACTTACAGAACTTAATACGAGAGAAAAATTCTATGATTAGTATTACATTTTACAAAGCTAAAATTTATATACTTGAATCATTACAAGCATCACTTTAACTTATATAATCTATTATAAATATTGTCAACAGTCCTAAACTTCGGTATTATTTTTAAGTCATATCTAATTTACTTCTACTTAACATGTTGACAACAATAACTTATCTAACATCTCCAATTCACGTTTACTCTACAGTAGATATCACAGTGCTTAAAGAGTATGCTGCGATTAAAGTATGATTCTATACATGTATCGGTAATACAGTTTCGCATGTAATGGCCCAAATACGATACTTAGGAAAGTATATAAATTATAATTATTAGTATTATTAATTGTAAGATACGTACTGTACTCGTACATATCAAAACTGCACTGTATAAGAGAGCTTACAATTTACAAGGCGATCCAGGTTTGTTGCAAGTGATCATTCAAAGTCTTAACTTCTTGCAACAACTCCCACATTATGTTGCAATTTTTTTGTAGTCTCATAAGTACTAAATATAGGAATCTATCATACAAAACGTTACAAATCTAACCAACTAAGTAACTATGGAAGGCATTATATCAATCCTTATCGCTCTGACGTCTTTTCTAGTTACTAGACTTTAAGAAAAACTGAAAATTAATCTTGAAACATTATCAAACATTTTTGTATAGTAACTAGGACAGTTTTTCGTCGTTAACGTAAACAAATTATATTTCATTGCAGACGCTATACAATATAGCATTTTACATTATTGGAGTGTTGTTAATAAGCCCTTTATAAAGGATAGCGTTTTACTACGAAATCTGAATTGTAATCTAGAAATGCTGTCTAGCTCTCTTTCCTTAGAACTCGTAGGTAATTGCTAACATTTTCAGCCTATCCACGAATTTGTGATACAAGATTT